TTCATGTTTCCATTTGCTTATTTGTGTCCTGTTGAGCAAGTCGACGCGAAACAACTACTAGATGACGAGGCCGACATGTCTTGGCGTCTTGACTGATCTCGCCAAGCCACCAAACACATTGCCTCGAAATCGGGTCCGGTTGCTCAAGCGATTGGCAGATTGTTTATAGAAGCAATTGAAACCTGCTCATACGACAGGTCGACATGTCGGACTCCGAGGCGCCAGCCCGACGAGTCATCGACGCAAGAAGAAGACGAGTGACCACAATGCGAAATGATCAGACTTGTAGCAGATGGTCCGAAGGCCTCTAAAATTCGGCAAAAGATGAAGTAGACCTGACACTCAAGTGAACAAAAGGATGGAAGTTAGAAGGGGTAAAGCTAGGTCCAGACCGAGTGAACAGAGCCGAGGGCTGGATGAATTTGGTGTGATCACTCGTTCTCGCCAAGAAATGTGGCTGGCGCTTGTAGTAGAAAGCTTTCAACAACTGAACGTCTTTCAGCCATCTGTCGGTGCCAGTGATCCATGAACCAGCTTCAACAAGAGGCGCTCAAGAAGCTCGCGCGATGGGAACGCTTCTGGTTGGTGTCTAGACGCATTGAGCAGAAAATTCGTATGCAGAGCAGCCCCAAGGCGAGCGAGATGAAACGCGATGTGCGGCGATCCCAGCCAGCGACTGGCTCAAAAGATCAGCCCAAAACACATGCGGGTAAACCTTCTTCTCCTTCGAATCCACCCCAAAGCTTGTCTCTTTCGGTTCAGACATCAGACGGGCCGGGCGATGCGCGCGGGGTGGCCGTTGTGGACACCCAAATTGTGAATTGAAGCTTCACCCGAGAGCGAAACGACCCCTGAAAGCATCACGAAGACTGGGACTGAGTTGCTTCCCATCGTGCGGCGTACAGGGTCTTCGGCGAACTCGGACGAAGTATGTTCGCCTAATCGTTTGAGATGACGACGCGATGGAAACGGGGTGAAAGTGGCCGTGTCCGAATTCACTTGGAAGGTTGGGCTATATAATTCAATCAAAGAAACTCTCAATTCTGGGTTTGGGGTCATCAACTCAGTCTCTTTCCAGCTCATCAAGTCCTACTACTAAAGGCTCTTCACTCTCTACACTCTTTACATCACACCACGTCTATCACTAAGACCACTAAAAACTATTCAAGATGCGTTACACTCAGCTTCTCCTCTCTCTCTTCCTCCTTTTCACCTTCGTCATTGCTCTGCCTGCGCCGGCGCCGGTAGAAGCCGTCGCTGCGCAAGACGCCGCCGACAAGAACAAGGATAAGAACCATAACAACAACGGAAACAAGGGCACCAAGACGAAGACCAACAACAACGGTAACACCAACAAGGGTCAGACCACCAAGGCCACGAAGAACGGCACCGGAGGAAACACCAGGCCTACCGCTGACGAGTGCGCTGCGGCCAAGAAGCTGGCCACTGGTATCGACAAGAACATCTCCATTCAGAAGCAAGAGCAGAAGGATGTCGCCGCTGTCAAGAAGGCTGTTCAGTCTGGGAACAAGGCTCAGTTCGACCAGGCTAAGACCAAGCTCGTCGCCACTGTCAAGTCTGGAGCGGATGTTCGCGCCGAGAACCAGAAGATCGCCCCCAAGGGCAACGCCGCAATTCCGGGTCTGAAGAAGGTACGTTCGAACTTTTACCCCACACAGTGAGGCGGTAAACGACAGCAATCTGACAAGCCATTTTAGGTCCAAAACGCACAGGCTACCGAATTGAAGCAAGCTCAGGGTCTCAAGGGCAACAACGCGGATCTGGATACCATCGCCCAGATGGAGAAGGAGTTCTCTGGAGGTATCGACCAGAACCAGCAGAACAAGAAGGACGCTCTCAAGGGCTGCTAAGCATCTCAATGCTGAACGGTTTTGAGGATCAGAGGATAGGTTGCACGTCACTAAGCAGACTGAGGTTGAGCTGGAGCGAGGAATAGCGTTGTACATGAAGGATTTTCAGTACATATATAGTGAATGAAGCCAGTTCAGTACAAATTGCTTTCAACTTATGGATTCACGCCGAATTCGAAACATTCAAGGGGCTTCGACACAACTGACCTAGAATGGTGGTCTCATTCTCCTGCAATTACCTCGAACGAGACCTGATGCCGACTCAATCCACTCACTCAGCGGTCCTAATACTTGGTCATTTGGGGAGTGTTAGCTTGAGGCCGTTAGTCAATGTGCTTTGGTTTAATATCATGGTACGGAGGCCAACGGGCTTTAAGAGGTTGTCGTAGCCTTGAGGTGGTTAAGATCATGATACTTCAAGTTGTATGAGATGTTACTGAAGGCTGTGCTGCTATACTTGGGGAAAGAATACCCTTCGGTGATTGCATAACTTTTGAATGAGGTCTTCCAAATTTCCCATTATACGTTTGACTTCTCGCGGTTTCTGCCTAGCGCTTTTGGAAGAAAACTAATGTTGCGGTGCTGAGGCACATCTTCGTCGCCAGTAGAGGTGATGCTGGATACCGCGGTGCCTCTAGTGGCAACATAACTCATATATGACGCAGCTATGGTCTCTAGAGTAGCCTGGGACAGTCAACTTCTGGTGAATGATTCTCAAGTCATGCGGCATCATTATCGAGAAGAACAAGTTGCCGTGACGCTCACTAGCATCGAAGCAGAAGCTGCAGCGTGTAGGTGCTCCTATTGGTGCGATTCTTGAAGCTTCTACAGTCAAATCCAGTTAATAATAGGTTATCTTCCGCAGCATGATAATGTACTTAATATATGGATAATGGGTTGTTACAGATAAAGACTCGAAAGGTTCCTCGAGAGCCCCGTTCAGAGAGGGAATCCGCAATTTCAACAAGTGACGTCTTGAAGCCATCTTACTTCAATGATGCTCGGCGCTCAATTGAGTTGTCAAGACAAAATATCAGAAACACAACATCAAATTGATTCTGGTCAAAACCGAGAATGTGAGCTTTCTCCCCTCGTGAGGGAGTTCTATGTCTGATCTCAGAGCTGGTCGTGAGGTAAGTGCTTACCCGGGAATAGGTGAATGCAATACATAACAGAACGGTGCTTCACTCGCCATAGGAGAATATGAAGCTCATGCTTTCCATTGGAAAGGGGCACACAATCTGCAGTTGGATCACTGATCAGCGGCTGATGGATTTGTCTCATCGCCTGTCGGAACTGAGATTTAAACTTACCTCTGATCACTGGATTAATCTCGTAACCTGAGCTTAGACTGAATGAGAAGCGTATGTTCGATTATTTCTCGCAGCGTATCATTGAAAATAGTATCGAAGAATTTGATGTCATGGTGGAATTCACCGGCGTAAGCAAATGAATTCTCGCTAGTCAAGCTAGTTGCCTGAGTTTGAGTTTGAAAGTCGGCTCTTCGAGAACACCACTGATTAGTGAGCGATGCCTGGCGACTATCGAAGGACGTCAAAATTTCCGTATTAAGTTGCTTTTGAAGCGAGAATGATAGCTTTTGAGGGTGTAGACTTCAGCTTGCTGTTCCGCAAGTAACTCTAAGCTGTGGTCATATGGGAGACAGTTGGTCACCATCCTTGCAAATCAAGATAGCAGAATGTGCCGTGAAAGTGTCAGCAGTCAGGTTTATTACTTTAGATACAATCACGATCTGTATACATTGAAACTGGACTTAGCGAGAGTAACCGGTAAAGCAAGCTTGCTGGACAATCTTACCTCACACAGAAGGATATAAAGCTCGGAAGCTTATAACGTTGAACGGACCTAATGACTTTGTCGCGAAAATGGCTTTCGCAACCAGCCGAAGTAATTTAGATAGAGTCAAAATTGATGCTTGTCTGCTTCGAATCATCAGACGGTGCGTTGTATTACCATGAGTCTTTCAGTAGTGTGGGGGTCAATAGGTACCACACTTCCAAAGGCCTTGGCAGGCAGAAAACCTATATTCATATTACGCATCATCATCATCATCATCAAGGTTTTAAATCATTAAATATTGAAACAAAGGGGGTTAATATGTGAACAACCAAAATTCTCAGTCTCCCAAGTGCCTTGGATAGCCTTCCACCTGAGCTCGAAATGCGACTGGTTCAGACATGGACGCACAGGCGCTCCGCTGAGCGCCATCTTAAGGGATACCTTCACACCGTCGGGACAATCTTCCGTCTTCCTTGAGTTGACATAAACCATCCAATGTCTGCAATAAGACATCATCTATAGGTATACGAAAAATGCCGCGCGCGAAAACTCTCAATACAGACTATGGAGGCCTGGAAACAAATCCGCGCAGATTATCTACTTGCCGTGTTCCCGAAGAAACAACGCTTTCATTATTCAGGGTCAACAAGCTTCGCCGGATCGCCTAGTTACCGTCTATTTAGAATGCCAAGTGCCGTGTTCCTGAAAGACAGCTCGGGCAGTTGCGGGCGGGAACGAACTCTCTTCTCTATCGGATGGACGTTGCGAAGAGAGTCATGGCTGGCTTGTCGGTAAACTCAGTAATCATTGGCCTCCTCTCTACTCATTTCTGCGAAATTCCGCCGAAAGGTACCACTTCTCCGCACTCCCCTCAAAAAGTCCGCAATAGCAGTTTACGCGCCGTTCCTTGAAGTGGGCGATGGTTGCGGGCAAAGTCCACTAATTAGGCTTTTTAACTCGGTTTCTTGCGAGCCTAACTGGGTTGCGAGGGGGACAGTCTGCTGTCAATGCCGAAAAAAAGGGGGCACTTTAGTACCCCTTGAGGGGTCATGTATATCTTTGGCTTTTGCTGACGCTCCAGGGAGGCTGGTGTTGTCAGCGGATGCCTGGAAGCACTTTGTCCCCCCCTCGCCTCAGAATTTCTCGCCTGCCAACTCTGACGCTCAGGAGTTTGCAACTTGGTGCAGTCCGGTAGTCGCAGTTTGGTAGGTGAGTGATCGCCTCCTCATAGCGTAACATTCCTAGCTGGTAATCTGCTTGAGATAGCCTTATGACTCGCAGATCTCTCACATAGGAAGTTATAGACGACTTGGCGTTGCTTGAGGTCCAGGGCCGGTGGGCAAGGGGCTGCTCCGTAGCGCACCCAGAATAAAGACCCCGGCCGCCGAGCCGGAGATCTCGTCCTCAACTAGTGGCCGGATTGCTCAAGACTCTAGGGACGCCGCCTTGGCGCGCCGTGGCGTTCCGGAGCACCGGTTCACTCACACCCACCATCCCGATCTTTCGCGGTTCCAACATCCAAACTGACGGCTTGGCACTGCAACCAGTGCTTGGTGCCGCCCTGATCATGATGGCTCGATGACTCGAGAGCAACCCAAATTCCCAAATCGCTTTTTGCTTGAACTCTGCACAAAGTGCCGGTTCTCGCGTCTCTCTAGGAATTAAAGTCTTGTTCCCTTTGAGCTTCTCGCTTTCTTGCTGCACGAACGCCCGAACCCCCAGACAGGGTTTGTCGCAGGTTTCGCGAGTTGTGACCACATCCACAACCGTCCGCACCGGAAGCAGAGCGGCTCAAGAACTTGCGACGTTTCACCCGCGTGGATCCCACCAAGCTTGTCTTGCTTTCGTGCCTGAAGAGCCTCAAGAACGCATGTTTCGCTCCAGGGATCACCCTCGGGTTGTTTTTTTACGAGGGCAACCTGCAGTTGGTTGTGTGCAAAGAGAAGAACGGGGTACCACGTTAGTTTCTGTGGTTCCGGCCAACGGTTAGCCTCCGCAGACCGCAAGGATTATAGGAGGCTGGCTTGGAAGCTATGATCGCCCGGCCATCAGCGTCGGATCATTGACATCTCTCTGTCAGCGACAAGGATCACATCGTCGTCGGGCTGAGGCCGAGTTGTGGTATTTGTAGTCGCAAGGCCGCACATCTGGCCCTGACGCAGCTTCGTCCGGTCTCTGCTCGCCTTGTCTCATCATTCAAATCATCGTGCTGGTCACTCGTTTCTTTCAATCTTGTCTAATTCCAACACAGTCCTTTCTTCAAAAACCGCTGGACTACCTGCACTACCGCTTTCACAGGCCGATAAACAAACATCCCAAGTAATCACTTCAAGATGCGCGCTTCAATCACTGCCGCCACGGCGCTGCTCGCCGCTTTGGTCTCTGCTCATGGCAACATCGTCTCGCCTCCTGCCCGTGGTGTCGGCGCCGCAATGGCTGCAGCGTGTGGACAAGCGAACGTCAAGGCCGTGACGGCCGATCCCACTATTCCTCTGGAAGACTTCACCAACCCTCCTGCAACATGTAAGCCAGCCTCTGGTACATGAGCGAATGGTTCAAGTTGCTAACACTATGCCCAAGGCCAACTTGATCTATGCAGAGGAGCCAAGTTCGAGGACAACAAGGCCAATGTCCAGACCTTCAAGGCTGGACAGGTCGTCAACATGAAGGCCGAGATTCCGATCCCCCACGAGGGCCCCATGAACGTCTCCATCGTCGATACCGCAACCAACAAGGTTATCGGACAACCTCTCATCGTCTTCGACAGCTACGCCGACGAGAACCTCGCGGCACTGCCCAAAAACAACACCGACTTTGACATCACCATGCCCTCCAACTTGCCCGCGGGGACCTGCGCTCAGGCTGGCCAGTGTGTCGTTCAATGGTTCTGGGTTGGTACCGCGGCGAAACAGACATACGAGAGTTGTGTGGACTTTGTAATGGCTTGAGCGACTAGAGTGTTGTCGCCTAGTTATAGATCAATGGAAGGTCTTTTGAGCGCGTTTGAGCACGTAGATCAGCGCCGCATCCCTGTGAATGCTGCGCCATTTTGAAGAGCTTTTTTTTTTACTACAATTTAATTGTCCATGACAATGAATGCGAAACACTTTGCTTCCCCTTAATGTAACAAACTGTTGTGACACTACTATTGTCAGTGATGATTTTGTCGTGGACGATCAATCATCCAAATTCAAGTATAACATCAAGATGTCCAGTCCCCAAGTAATAGGTCAAGCGGCATACTTTCCATGAAGTCTATGGAAGACTCGTTGAGCAGCATCCGCAGGCTTGGGTCCGCAGCATCGTCATCAAAAGTCGGTTGACTTTCACTGTAGAAGGCAAAGTCATTCTCACTCGGCAGATCAGCAAAGTTCTGGGTCGACGCGACAAAGTGGGATGCCGTCGGTCTCGCTTCAGCCTCATCTGTCATCTGAGGAACCACGGATTGGAAGTAGGCTTGATCCAGTCCCAAGTCCAACTGCGGTAGAAAATGGAACTGGCTGTGGATGCGATCGAGCATCTCCAGACACCGTTTGGCCGATCTACTCTTCTCCGCCAAGGTCTTTAAGCAGGCGCGTGACTTGGAGACTGAGTGTTGCCATGCAAGTCTGTCGGTTTGGTCCGTGGACGTGGCTTTGGTGAGATAGTTCGCTTCCAGGACTAGTGTTGCCTGGAACAGAAAGTATGTCGCGTACCACACGATTCCCTGGTGTAGAGAGGCTTCATTGGCCATGCAGAAAGTAGCAATATCATGGACGCTTTGCATAGCGACATTCAGGCACTTATCTTCCGCGTTCACTTTGGTGGGCAGGTAACTGTGGTGTTGCTGACTGCCGCGCCAGAGTAGAATGCGAAGGTTCTGCTCTTTCCAGAGCACGACCGCTCGAGGCGCCCGAAACCACGACGGGCAATCAGTCTGAGTAAAACATGCGGGCAAAGCTTGTTGCCAGCGATTCAGGTCTCGATCCATTGTTTCGGCGACTCTGTATTCGACCTTTGTTCCGGCGGTCTTTGCTAGTAGAAATTCATGATACACAGCATCGGCAATCTTGGCTAGCTTTGCTTGGGCGATAATTGCTGAGTAGGTAGTTGGGTAATTAACTGGTGGTGGTACCGGTGCCTTGAGTGGTAGTTCCTAGAAGGAAATTAGCGGATCGGAATAAAAGGATAGAAAGAGAAACACACCTTATCGTCGATATTTTGAGGAACCCGGGTATCTATAAAATCTTCCGACATTGCAGGCGGCCTTCCGGTGGTTATGTTGAACCCACTCTCGAAACAGTAGATAGTCCAGAAGAGCTGCCGTCGCCGCTCATGTCCCAAAGTGTCCTCTAACCCCGGAGGTTCACGATGAAGGCCTAGACCTAACGCCATTCTGTACGCTAATCCACTGAAGTTGTAGCCAGTATTAGTCCTATCTCTCTTCTGTAGGTAGTTGCTCATAAGCAAAAAGGCCTGAACTGTCTCGATTGTGCCGGACTCAAGCATCTGAAGAGACAGACTGGACCGCGCTGCGCTGTAGTAGCTCGACTGCAGATGCTCCGACTCAGTGCTAGAGAGCCAGTGGCCGATGGCCAAAACCATCTGATAGGCGACACGCCATGGCGAGGTTGTGAGGCGTTGACGGCGCCCTGCGTCGACTCTCTCCCTGAATGTCCGCTCATGGAGCACCGGGTAGGAGGTGTTGTAGAGTAGGAAGTAGGCGTCGATCAACCGGCCAGCGATATATGACGATGGCAGATCGAAGGGTTCAGGTACCGCAAACCCGGCTGAACTGGACGATCTACGCTGTCTTTTACGATACGATGTATGGTGCTGAGTGGCTGGATGCGCGACGTGGATCACAGAGTCAATCTCTCCAAGCAGCTGAGAACCTGAACTGCTTCCTGAAAGTTGATGTCAGGCATCGCTCATCGGTCAACCGCCTTCCGCAGACCAATCTCGGGCATGGCTTACCTAAGTAACCAGAGTCGTGGGTTGGCAGCATAGCCATTCCGTCATTCTCGTGGGCTGAAGACTTGAACTCTGGCGACAGCGATCCCTCGTGCCATTCGTAGCTGTGAGGTGTGACTTCATCTGAGTCTCCAGGCGGGGAATGTGACGAGCTGCCGCCGCCATCATCTTCATGCCCTTCTAGCTCTTGCCGGACCTGTGTCTCTTCAATGGCTGAGTTTATGTTGAGCTCCGGGTTCAATGACCTGATGAGACTCTGGAGCTGCTTGCATCGGAGCTGAGCTTCGTCGAGATTCTTTCGGGTCAGAGGCGTCCGATCAGGGGGCTTCTCAAAGCTGCACGTCTTGCCCGTTTTGGCGCAGTATGAACATGGGTCGTTGACTGCGCTGCCTCTCATACATCGGCTCTTGCGCTTCTGACAGTTGACGCAGGCCCGGACGGTAGTTGGATTGGAACATCGGCGGATAGAGTCCGGCATGTTTCGTTCTTCAACGTCCAGTCCCCGCCACTGATGATTCGACGCGTGTGGAACACCGGGGATCAGAGGGCCGTAATTGAGCTTAAATACAGTTTATTGTCTCCGCACAACTCTCTTAAGGCTGTCTGTGACATCTCAGGTCACGTTGGAGAGTTTTGAGATATTATCTAACTTGCATACGCCTCATCAGAGAAGTTGTCAAACTCCGAATCTGAGCTCTACCCCTCAAGAAATTGTCCTCGGAGCACAGTCGCCCGATGTACGCCACTAAAAAGCCACAAATGTGGGATGAATTGCGGGGGAGCTGGGTGGGGAGCGCAGCTTGCTTCATAGACCATCCCAAGAGAGACGGACATTGCCAAGAGTTTTAATGATGGCCCGTCTAAATCAGGGAATGCTTCCGCCTCCCAATACCATAATAGGCCAATATTGTCCGTGAACTGTAGAGAGTGGGCGATAATCGTTGCGCAGATCAAATAGTGCCACGCTTGTTAGACTCGCCGAAGTGCGACCCAAATTTTGTCATGTAATAAGGATAGGGACCGCAATCCACAAAGTACTTATCACGTGCTGTATTACGTATATCTTACTTATATCCTATATATAGACCTTTTTCTTTTATCTATTTCTATTTTAATAAGTTAAGCTATTTTATTATACTCCGTATACCTATTACTATATATTATAACTTATAATAGTTATAAACCTAGCTTTTAATTAAGACCTTAAAATATAATAACGTATTTATTAATACGATTTTTATTATTTTTTTAAAATAATAAATATCTTTATATTAACCTTTAGTTAAACTAAGTTAACTAGTTATAATAATTAGATTAAATAGTTCTAAACTTTCTATTTTATAAACGAGGGCTTCGAAGTCTAAAAATACGTCGATCTAAACGCTCTAAACTTTAATATACTCCTCGCTCCTTTTATAATATTTTTTTTATTATTAAACTTCGAATTATTATTTTTAATTTATAATAAAAAAGAGTAACGAGCTTATAAAACTCGTTATAAAGCGTTTAAAAATAATTAACGAGAATAAAAGATCTTTTATTAATAATTTCTAGCCCTAACTCTTAGTACGACCCTTTTAATATTTTTAAATATAAGTAATCTATAAGATCTAGCTAAAGTTCTTTTTATAAAACTAACTATATTATTAACTTTATATAACTAAATATATCCTTATATTATACCTATAAAAAAGATCTATATACTCGAAAATATTTAAAAAAAATAAGAGCTCTTTACTAAATATTATTAAATTATAGTTCCTAAACGTAATAGTATTAATACGTATATTAAACTCTTTATTTAATAATTAAAAAAGTCTATTACTACTACTCTTTATAAACACGTATTTTAAAAAATAACTTAAAAAAGCGTTAAGTTTAATATTTAATAGATCGTTTAGTAATTAAAATAGGATTTAGCGCCCTCCGAAGCTATAATTAAAAGTATAGTTCGGTAAAAATATAAATAAATCCTTAATAAAATAAAGAATAAGTTAATGTTTAACGTTAATATAAAAATAATAGTCTATTTATTTTTAAATAAAGATATATAATATCCTAAAAATTTAAAAAAAAATCGCTATAATTAACTTTTTAAAAGCGGTTAAGTCTAAGCTTAACTTTATATAGGGCTAATAAATTTATAACGCTTTTTATAAATTAATTGCTTTTAGGACGTATACTAAAACCCTCGGGGAGATTATATATACGTTTAATTTAATAACCTAGGAGGTATATATAAAACGGCCTTTAAACTAAAAAGGGGCTTACTCTACTTTTTTAGGGCGTTCTAACTTATATAAAAATATAAATAATAAAGGGGACGTTATATACTTATATAATTATATATACTACTAGCGGCTTTTAATATATCGAAGACTAGAGTAGGTATTTATAAATTATAATATTAATAGGTTCTTAATACGAATATTTAATAGCTATGTAAAGAAGGTCTTTATTATAATTAAATTAAATAAATAGAAATTATTTTATAGTAAGTTTAAGAAAGTTAGTTAGTTAAAGGACGATAGAACCTTTAAAAAGCCTCGGCTTTTAAAAAGATCCTTTAACTAGCTTACGACGAGCTTATTAATAAACTAGGACGAGGGCTACGTAGTTATTATATTTATTAAAGGTTAAGAAATAGAATTAAATATAATCTTTAATACCCCTATAAATAGCGCTTATCCTTTATCCCGGAGTATAGTAATAAATAGTTACGGGGCGATATACTTAATTAATAATAAAAGCTTATTAAAACCTAAGAGCTATATATTATTAAATAATAATAATTATATTAAATTAAAAACTATTATATTACCCGTTATTATATATAGGACTTGGATTATAAAGGGCGTTTTAAATAGACTTAAAAAGAGGGAATATATAATCTAAAGTTTTAAAACGTCGTTTATATCGAGGGCTTCTATATAAATATAGTTTTAAAAACTTTTCTAAATAAAAGCGTACTTTAGTATTATAATCTAGATTATATTTTATAATAAAGAACGCTTTATAAAAATACCGTTAAAAAGTAATTAATCTAAAAGAATAACCTAGTCTTTTTTAAATATAAACTCTTTTAATTTTATTTTTTATTATAGCCCTTAACTATATTTTAAGAGCTTAGCTAATATTATATTATTAATTAGCTATAAAAAGTTCTACTACTTATATTAACGTATTTATAAAAGATTTAATAATACGCTTTTATAATACTTTAAAACTAGTTATTTAGGACTTAATACCCTTCGTTAATTTCTATATAAAACTCGTAGAGTATATATTAAGCTTTTAATATAAATTAAATATAAAGCTTATATAATATTTAAAGCTAAATTAATAATTTTAAAAGGACTGCTTTTAAAACGCGCTTTACGGCTATAGTACTAAGTATATTAAAATCTTTTTATTTTAAACCCTTTTAAATAAATAATAATATATACTTATAGCCTTTAATAAATATAATAAATAGCTTAGGGGTTCTTTTTAAAAAATAAGATAAAAAAAAGTATTTATATACTCTAGAGCCTCGAAATAGCGATCCGTTATTAAAAAAGAACTTTAATTTATTTTTTTAGAATAATAACAAACCGCGGTCTTTATAATAAACATTAAATACGCTTACGAAACGTAATATAATAACTAGGAATTAAAATAGAACTTCTATTTCTATATATAAAAGAACCCGTAGGTAATATAAAAGAGTAAGTTAATTTATAATTACTAAAGCTTATAAAATATACCTTTTTATAAACCTCTTTAAAAAGCTTAGGACGAAATAGTATTAATAATAATATTTATTTATAATATTACCCTATAAAGGTTAATAATAAAGACTCGCTTATTATAATAAAAATTAACTAGTAAAAGCGATATTAATACTAATAATAAACGGGTTATTAAATACGGGATTCTAAACTAATAACCCTATATCTTAGTAATTTATATATATATAGCTACTAGGTATATCCTCTTTATAAAGATTATAAAAGGGTATATAATAAAAAAATATAAAGTACTTCCCGCGAGTATATTAAATACCTAGTTAAATATATATTAAAAACGTATAACTTATATAAGATCTAAATACCCGCGCTTAAATAGGTATTCGTTATAAAAAATATTAAGTTTAATAAAGAAGTCTTTTATAATTTTATATATAAAGAATAAGCTATTATAAGCGAATAAATAAATCTAATAATTTTAAAAATATAAAAACTTTTTAACGTTAATAACGAAATAATTTAAATACTCGGGGAGGTAAATTTAGATTTTAAAA